CCCGCTGGGCCCCGGCTCTCCAGGGCCTCTTGCCTGGCCTGGGGACGCATGTGACCCTGCTGCCCCCTGCCCCACACGCCCCTCCCCGGCCGCCCCTCCCTGGCAGTAGCACTTGACATGTGCCTGGCAATGGGGCATAGTGTCTTAGCTGTTGGGTTTAATTTGCATTCCTGGTGCAGTAAGGAGGGCAGCTGGCGGGGCTGTAGGGGAGCCAGGAACGTGCCTTCCTCCGTGCAGACCTCACTGCATGGGACTCGTCCTCGGGGAAGCGCTCTGGGAGAGCCCAGATACTGTGCCCTGGTGCACGGGGGCTTCTCTGCCCTGTCGGTGGGGCTGGTGAAATATTAACTGCTGTGGCTGGCATGTGGCTGGTGCCCTGGGGGCACGGGCTATGAGTGGCTGCTAATCATGGGGTCGGTTTCTTTCCTGCCCAGTGGCTCCAGGGGGCTTTTCGGGGGAAGAAGCTGCTGCAGAGCCCCATGCCGGAGGGCATGGGAAGAGCTGGGAGAGGTGGGATGGCATTGCCTCTTGCCCTGGGCTTGGGCTGCAGCCCGATAGCCGGGGTGCTGGCACCCTTGCCGGCGGCTCGGCCCCCAGCTCAGCGGTCCCTGCTATGGGGCAGGCTGGGGTCGTGACACTGCGGCCCCCAGGCCAGCTGGGAGGGAGCGCCTCTCCTGGAGGTCGCCGAGCCCAGCCCCTGCTCCCGCTCCGGTGTCCGCGGGCCGAGTCGCCCTGGGGGCCCCTGAACCCCGGTGTTGTGCTGGCTGAAAGCCGGGGCCGCACTGAGGTGGGCTGTGGGGTGGGGTGATGCCGGCTCCGTTGCCCCTTTGCCCCCCGCGCCCTGCCCGGCCCGTGGGACGGAGCAGGGGAGAGCGCAAGGCCCCTTCCCCCATCCCTGCGGCCGTGGGAGGCTGAGCTGGCAGCCGGCAGGATTGTGCAGGAGCCTGTTGCCATGGCGATGGCACGGGCCTCACGCCGCGGGCCCTGCAGCCGCTGCGGAGGCGGGAGCTGGGGACTCGGGCGCGCGCCAGCCTGGCCCGGTTGGAGCAGGGCTGGCGCTAGGGGCTGGCACCCCCGGCTCTAGGAGAAGCTGCCAGCAGCAGCTGGTGGAGGTGGGCATGAGCTAGGGGCCGTGAGATCTGCCGGCTGATCCGTGCCCAGCTGCCCTGGGACTGGCTGGCAGAGATGTCTTGGCTCGTCTGGCTCTGCGGACTCCACGTGGGCCTGAGGGGAGCAGGGGGAGCCAGAGAGGGGCAGGAAAGGACGCAGGGTGGGGTGCAAAGGTCCTGGGTTGAGAGACACCTGCAAAGCTGTCTGGGGGGGGACCCCAGGGCTGGGCTACCAGGGGCTGCAGGTCAGGAGTGAGGGGCACCAGCAGAGCTGTGGGGGCAGGGCTGGGCTAGCAGGGGCTGCGGGTCGGGATTGGGGGGGCACTGGCAGAGCTGAGCGGGGGGTGGGAGCCCAGGGCTGGGCTAGCAGGGGTTGTGGGTCGGGATTGGGGGGCACTGGCAGAGCTGGGCTGGCGGTGGGAGCCCAGGGCTGGGCTAGCAGGGGCTGTGGGTTTTGATTGGGGGTCACCAGCAGAGCTGTGGGAGGGGGGCCCAGGGCTGGGCTAGCAGGGGCTGGGGTTGGGTTTGGGGGTCACCAGCAGAGCTGTGGGAGGGGGGCCCAGGCTTGGAAAGGAGAAGTTAGAGCTGTGGCTCCACCCCCATGCTCTGGGCTGTTGCTCTAAAATTCACCCAAACTCCTTAAACAAGGAAGCAGAAGTGAATCAAACACCCCCCCCCCCCCTCAAAGTGAGAGGAGTCCCCCGCTTGTCCCCACAAGTGGGAATGTGCTAATGTAACGTGCTAGAGCATTGTGTATATAACCCGGGTGGATTCCCCGGGGCTGTGCGCGTGCGATCCATGTGCGCGTGCGAGCCATGTGCATGCAGAGGTGGGGAGGGAGGTGCGTAATGCAGCGTAAAGTACCCCCTCCTCCCCATGCGCCACGCAGCCAGTGGGATCTCCCACCTCTCATGCCATGTCCAGCAGTCTGGGAGGCAGCGCGTGTGTGGGTGCGATGGAGGGAACCCCGTGCTAATGAGGGTGACTCAGGAGCGTGCGCTCGGCTGCTTGTCCCAGCTGCTCCCTCGACAGCCTGCCGCAGCGCTGCCAGCAGCCGGGGCCGGCGCCTGGCCTGCTGCTCCCAGGAGCAGGGAGGGCTCCCTGCTGGAGCGTGCTAATGAGGTGGGAACCTGGGCTGCCATGCTGTGGCTGCATGCGCACACGCGTGTGTGTGTGTGTGTGTCCACGCACGGACACACGCGCCTTTCCAGGGCCACAGGAGCCAGACCCAGCAGGACGAGCCCAGCGGGGACCCTTCTGCATCTGAGCGATGGGGGCTGGGCTGCCCGGCGGTGACCACGCTGGGTTGCTTGCTGAGCTGTGATGGGGTCAGTTACGGGTTTGCTCTGTGCCGTGCTGTGTCCCACCCAGACCCGTCCTGCTGGGCTCTGCCCAGGCCCGTTCTGAATGGCTCCAGCACTGGCCTCCCATCCCCTGGCATGGGGACATGATTCCCCAGGCTAATGGGCGCAGCAATGTCCCTTGTTCCTGGCCCTCTTCCCTCCCTGGCTCATGCTCACAGGGTCTGACTCTGGAGGGCTTTAAAATCCTCTTGGATTTAAAGATTTATCAGCTTGAAATATTAAATTGCAATGAAATATTAACTGCAGCTGAGCATTGTGCTGTGGGGCTTCAGTGAGCCAGCTTCGCACGAGGGCTCTGGGCCAAGCACACACAGTGCAGGGGGCTGTGTGTGTGTGTGGTGGGGGCTCTCTGCCTCTGCCCGGCTTTGCATGGGGGTGCTGGGCCAGGCACACTCAGTGCAGTGGGCCGGGGGGGGCTCTAGCCCCCACCTGCCTTTGCGTGGGGGCTCTGGGCTGGGCGCACTCAGTGCAGGGGCTTGAGGGGGCACCCAGCCTCAGGCTTCAGGGTGCTGGGATCATTGTGGGGTCAGGAAGGGTGCCCACAGGGACCAGGCTGTGGGGTGGAGCAGAGGTCAGTGCAGGGTGCACACAGAGAAGGCATTTGCTGTGACAGCGGGTGCTGGCTGGGGTGGGAACATGCCTCCAACTGGGGTGGCAGGGACTCACCATCTCTCATAGTGCCCGCCTGCCCCCTCCACCAGCCACTGGGTTGGGAGCTGCCCTGAGGGGCCAGGCCCAGCCTGGCCTCCCAGCACAGAAAGCTCCCACTACAGCTGTCCCTGCTCCAAGAGGCTGGCACTCACCCTGGGAAGGGCCCCGTCAGCCTCACGCAGACCTGCCTGAGAGCAGCTCCCAGGGGCCAGGCCTGGGCTGGAGAGCCCCTGCCCCAAGCTCCTGGGGATCTGAGCCTTGGGCCCCCCAGCATTCACCTGCTGGCCAACCCCAACAGTCCAGCTTCCCTTTCCCCCCTGCCCTCTGGATCCCCCCACTCAGTGCCAGCCCCCAGCCCTCTGGATCCCACCCCCCCTTGGCACCAGACCCCTGCCCTCTACCCATCTCGGGGCTGCTGCATTTGGCTCTTCCCTCTGCTGAGGCCATTGCTATTTCCATGGTAACCGGCCAGGCCCCCCCCCCAACTCCCCCCAGCTCTGCAGCCTGTGGAGGATGAAGCCGAGTCCGGCTCCAACCCCTGGGCCTCCCTGCCCTCACCTGCAACAGAGGCAGCTCATTGCTCCCAGCCTGGCCCCGTCCCTCCGGCTGTAGCCTGTCAGTGATGGAGGGAGGGGGCGGCTGGGACAGGCAGGCCTGAGGTGGGGGGGCTCAGCGCTGCCTGAGAGAGTCCGGGGACAGAGAGTGAGGTGGTGGGGAGAACTGCCCCTGTGCTGCCTTTAGGGCTGGTAGCCCTGCACCCTTCCCTGCCATTAACATCCTGCTGGAGCTGGACTGCTTTGCTCGCCCAGCGCCCCATGGCGAGCTGCTGCGCTGGGGGGCAAGTGTCGCTGAGGGCCACGGCTCCCGGGCCTAGCAAGCTCTGCTGTTGGCGGGCTGGGAAGATGCTGTGCCCCCCCCCCCAACCTTGAGCGCCGCGGGGACAATGACCTAGAGGGGAAACTGAGGCACGGAGAGGCGGAGTCGTGACTTTCGCAAACCACCCAGCGGGTCGGGTGGCAGAGCCCAGGAGTCCTGGCACCCAGGCCCACCCTCATTGCTGCGTTTGAGGGTATAGGAATGAGGGGACAGATTCGCTTGGCACCTCTGCATGGGGTGGCAGGCTGCAGCGGAGTCCTCCCCTCGCATGGATCACTGGCTCCCTAGCCCCCTGCTGCTGCCCCTTCCACTCCCTGCTCAGCCCTGCCCCTGCCCCTGCAGCAGGATGCCTGGCAGAGCCGGGTCCCTGCATCTCCGGGGCAGTACTCAGCTGTTAATTGTGTGTCAAGTGTGCCCGTGGGCTTGGCTGGGCAGAGCATGGCCAGGAGGGGATCAAGGGGGCCACGGTGGCTCGCTGCGCCGGGGAGGGGGCCGCTGCTCCTCAGGGGTTAAAGAGCTGGCTGGGGGCTGTGTGGCTGGCTGTCAGATACATGCAGACGTGCCAGGGAGCTGTTGACCCTTGGGGCAGGGGCGCTGAGGGGCCCCTCCAGCCCTGGCTGACCCCTCCCCGGGGCACAGTCTCTGCCACATGCCTGACCGGAGCAGCCCTAAAATCAAGCCATGCAACGCCCGGGCCCTGCAGCCCTCCGCAGCCGGTGCCAGTGCTGCCGGCTCCAGTGCAGTGGGGCACCCCGAGGCCAAGCGCCCACGCCCCTGCCCTGGGCCCTGGCGGAGCTGGGAGGGGGCCTCTGCCCAGCTGCAGGGAGGGATGGGGGGGGCTGGTGGAAAAGGGTTTTTCCTATTAACCATCAGTCTCTGTCTCAGCGCCCACCTTGTCCTGGTGCCACACACCCATTGGCTGCTGGAGTCAAAACAAGGGGGCGGAGCTAGGGAAGTGACCTCACCTATTGGGAGCCCCACCCCCAGCCCTATAAAAAGCAAGATGGTGCAGCAGGCAGGGAGAGTGCTGAGCTCTCAGCTCTCCCCAGTGGGGAGGAGCGCCCTGGGGGCAGACAGGTGTCTGATGGCTTAGCCCCTGGGTGCCATGCCTCTGGCAAGCCCCGTCTCCCACCTGGGGTCTGCTGCTGGGTGGTGCCATGGCGGCGAGGGGCAGGCAGCCCCCGGTGCGCTATGCCTCCCTGGGTGCCCTAGTGGCAGACACTCACCGGCCTCTCCTTGTTCTCCTGGCAGACTTCAACTACGGGGCGGAGGATTACGACGCGGAGGGGAATGAGGAGCCCAAGGTGCCACCGGAGGGCTCGGAGACCATGCCCTACATCGACGAGTCGCCCACCATGTCGCCGCAGCTCAGCGCCCGTGGCCAGGAGAGCGGGGATGGCGTCTCACCCACGCCCACCGACAGCCTGGGCACTGGGGTAGGTGGCCACATGACAGTGCTGCTGGAACCTGGGGGTCTCTGCCCAGCACGGGCGTGACACTGGTTCTGTGTCCTGTGGGACCGGGTGTCGCTGGAGCTGGGATGGTTCGGTCCCCTGGCTCCCCCTTCCCTCCAATTCCCCCTTGACCACCTAGCTCAGCCCACTGTCCTTCTCCCTCTCTTCTGGCTTGAGAGGAGGGGTACTGAGCAGCCTGGCTGCTCCTTTGCTAGCATTTCTTCCCCCTCCCCCCCAGTTTGGGGGTGAGCAGCACGGGCTGGGGCCTGGTGGTTCAGGGCAGGGCGAGTGTCCAGCTTCAGTTGGCTAGTGCCACGGCCGGTTCCTTCCTTGGTGCTTTGCTGTGGTGAAGGGCGAGGCGGGCTTGTCAAGAGGGCCATCCCCAGAGGGAGGAGCTGCTGCAGAGCTCCTAGGGCTGTCAACAGCCTGGCAGCCCTCCCCCTTGCTGACTGTGCACTGCAGCGTCCTGCCCAGGGGCCTGGCTGCTCTGCATGGGCCCCGCCCCTAAGAGGGGAGGGGTGTGGGGGTCTCTGGCCCATCATCCTCTCTCCTCCACCCTGTGCCTGGTACAGGGCACCCAGCTTCTGCTCTCCACCCCAGAACCAGCTACATTTCAGTGCTATTCAGCGGCGCTCTGGGATTCTCTGCAGAGCTATGGAACAGCTCCTGGGGCCAGCAGGGGGTGGGGTGGAGTGGGAACCCCTCTCTGCCCCCCATCTTGCCTCAGTGGATAGGGACTCAGAGGCCCAGCCGCTGGGGAGGTGGGGGGGGCGGTTACGCCTATTGGCTGGGCATGCTGGGGGTACAGGGCAGGGGTGCAGGGTAGTGGCCCTGTGCCCTCCTTTCCTGACCCCTGAAGTGCGATGTCAGGGCCTGGCGTGGGAGCCAGTGGGGTAGGGGTGGGGGGCTTCTGCTGCTGTGGCTGGAGCTGCTCGGGCAGGACCCTGGTGCCTCTTCCCGGCTCTGTGCTGCAGCCTGCAGCTCGCTGACTGGGCACAGCCGGCCCCTCTGATGGGCTGTGCACGCCATCTAGTGACGGAGGGAGGGACTGGGCCAGTTGAAGGCTTCTGGTAATTTTCAAGCAAGCGTCTTTGGGGCGGAACCTTTTTAAAGAGAGCCCTGGTCAGAGTATTATGAAACCCCTCTCTGGGAATGGGAACCCCCGAGAAATGGGAAGGGTTGGCTGGGGGGGGCTCTTGCCATGCTCTGGGCAGCGCCAGTGTCTGGAAGGCTCAGGGGCGTGACGTGTATCTCCCCAAGCATTTCTGGGGGCTCCTAGCAAACAAGCCATGCAGCCTGCTTTCCCAGCTCCCTTGGTTCTGATACGCACCAACCCAGCACCTTCTCGGCGGCAGGTTTCTGGGTGGGTTGGAGGGCAAATGCCTGACGCTTTAGCATGAGCTGAGTGCGTGGAGGGGGTGAGAGGAAAGCCTTCCTGACCTTGTAGCAGTGGGGCCCCTTGTGCCTTGGAGCATGGGGCTTGTTCCTCAGGCATTGCTAGACTGAGGGTAACAGTTTCTCGTGGCCGTGCTGTGAGGTGCATGTGGCCAGAGAGGCCTGTGTACCAACTCTGGGACTCCTTGTTCAGGGCAAGGCAGTGCCAGGAAAGGGTGGGTTCTGCCTCATTGAAAGGGTTACGGTCTAATTCCTGAAGGAACAGGAGTGAATGCGAACACGTGGCTTCCTCCCACCCCCCGGCCTGGTGGGGCTGAGATGCCAAGCTGGGTGGAGGACCTAGAAAGATGGGGGAGCCCCTGGGCAGGCAACAGGCCCCAAACTGCCCAGCTGCAGAAGAAGGGAAAGGCAGATGGCAGCATGTGCCAAGGGGCAGCAGGAATGAGCTGGATTGAATCCAACCCAGCCCCTGCCTGCCTGGGGTCTTGATGCCAGCTGTGGATCTCCGAGCTCGGCCTTCCCCCGCCAGGTGGCATCAGTGAGCAGGGACCTGTGGCTGGTTAATGATGTCTCTGAAGCGTGGGTGCATCCACTTTCCCAGTATGGGGGGAATGTGGTGTCGCTCTGGGCCTGGATCATCTCTTTCCCCCCCCCCCCTCCTCTGGGGCTGCCCCTCGGCAGGACCCCCGGCATTGCCCTGCGTTACTGCCCGTAGATGGGCATGGTGCCTTCGTCCTCTTCCTTCCCCACGTGGCTTATGGACTGACGCCAGTGCCCTGTGAGAAGGTCCTGGAGGGGGACCGCCCTGGGGGCTGTGGCTAGCAAGCCGGGGCGGGCAGGCCCGGGTAGCACCGCCATAGCCAGCGAATGCAGGAAGCAGGCAGCTGGACACGTGTGGGCAGGGACAGTCTCTTCGATCTGCTGGCACTGCCCAATAGCATCAGGAGCTGGCTGTTTGTGGGGGGGGGGGCAGCAGCTTGAGCGCTGCAGAGCCTGGGCGTAGCTGGGTACAGGAGCTGGCTTGTGCTGTGCCGAGCCTGACTGGGGGCAGCTATCTAGCTGCTGGGCCTGGGTGTCTCAGGACAAAGCCTCAGGCTGTTCCCTCTCCCAAGGGTGCCCTGCCCCCACACTGGATGGCCCACCCTGGGAGCTTGTGCCTGGTTACAGCCAAGGGAAGGGTCCCTGGCCCAGCCCCTGGGCAGAGCTGCTGCCTGCCTGGCATGGCCGCTGCACAAGGGGCGCATGCTCCGGCCCTGATCCTGTGGCTGGCCCCAAGGGGTTGGGGGTAAGGGCAGGGGCATGCTGCATGGCAGTGCCCTGGCATCTTCCTGTGTCCCAGCATATGGTGCCATGGGTGCCCACAGAGCCCTAGCCTGTAGGGTGCACACGCACTGGAGAGATGTTCCCACGGGTGCCCTGCTCTCCTGGCAGCTATGCTGCTGGCCCCTCCTACCCCAGGGGCATCCAGCAGGGTCTGCCCCTCCCCAGCTGCTGCAAGGGAGAGCCCAGCCAGGGCTGGAGTCTCTGCCATGCACTCCCTCCTCAGCCGTCCTGGAGCTAATGGGATTTGGAGATGCTGGGGCTCCAGCATTGGCTCTGCCATCAATCCCATTATCTGTAGCCGGGCAGTTCCAGGCTAAGCCGAGTGCCCTTTGGACGCAGCGGCTGGTGGCTTTAACCCTTCGCAGCTGCCTCCCCAGCGTCCGAATCGGGGCCTGCGTGCTGGCTGGGATCTGCCAATGAGAGGCAGCTGGCTCGTGCTCAGCTTCTCCTCTTCCCACGTGGGCTCAGCTCAAGTGAGTGCTGGCAGCTGCAGAAGGGGGACCCGAGGGCCCCTGTCCATGGGGCTCAGCCGAGAGCCCTTGGGCTGGTGGCGCTCTGGATGCAGGGCTGCAATTTGGGGCTGAAAGGGGTTTCCAGGGGGGCTGGGTGACTTGCAGCCGGCGCTGGTGGAGGGGGCTGTGAACAGGCCCCTGGGCCCTGTCCTGAGCGCGTGACTGTTTCCCGCGCTGGAGCGGCATGGGGAGCAGGCAGGCATTGCTGCTGGGCCATAGCCTCCCGCCCTGGGGCCGCCTCCTCTCACCGGGCATGTGAGGCGTGGGCTGGGCTGCTGCACCGGGAAAGGTGGGGGGCTGTGGTTCTGGGTGAGAATCCCCCACATCAGACCATCCCCTCACTGACTCCCCCCACCCCTGGCCCTCTCTGAACTCTGTGCACAGGGGTCTGTCCTGGGGCACCTCTGCTCCCTAGGGCTGAAGCGTGGTCCTGGCTCTTACCCACGTCAAGGACATGGGCGGGCACGGGCTCTGGAAACCCCCAGTGCCTCCTGGTTGGTCCCCACCCCGGCACTGGGGTCCTGGCAGCTGCAGGAAGCGGTGGAGGAAGACAATAAGGCTGGCACATGCAAAGCAGGTCAACCTCAGCTTCCCCTTTCCCTGGAGTTGGGGGCAGGTGGAGGCAGCTATTCCAACAGCGAAGCTCCCTTCCCGCATCCTTAGCTTGCAGGGCCCTGGGAGCCTCCAGCCACTGCTCCACTCCTTGACAAGCCCCATCCTGCTCCCCCTCATCTGTTCCCGGCGGCCAGCTGAGGCCCGGTGCGCCCAGGCCATGCGGGAGACTGCCCCCGTCCAGTCTGTCAATCAGGAGTCCCTGGCACTGGTGTTACATTCACTGCCCCCAGCCAGCATGATCCTCGCGCTGCCAGTTTCAGCCCTGGGCGGGGGCTGGATGGCACTTTGAGCGCTCAGGAAGGCACAAGAGGTGGATTTGGTATCCAGGAGGCAGCTGTGTCTCTTTCTTCCTGTTGGGCAGGGGCAGAGGGCTCAGGCCTCAGCGGCTGAACTCCTTGCTCCCCATCCCAGGATCTGCCACAACATCCAGCAGGGGCGCAGGGCTGCGTCAGCTTGGCTGGTGGCTGAGCCGTTCCGCACTGATCACATCATTAGGGTCCAGAGTCAACACCCTGCTGGAAGGAATGGAGGGGTACCAGGGCTGGGTTTGCAAGGCTCCTTCCCTGGCTGTGAGGGCTGGCCAGGCATGTTCTGGGCCAGAGCTCTGCTGTAAATTTACCCGGCTACCCAATCCCATCCTGCCCAGCACTTGCCTCCAGGCTGCATACGAGGCCTGATCCCCTGTAGGGGGAGGTCTCCGGGTGACCCTCTCCCAGCCCCGTCCCATCCTGTACGATCCCCGCTGCCAGGCCCTGGAATTCCCTCCCGGACTCCCTTGTGCCGGGAGGCAGCCGCTGCTCTTGCGGCTCAGTGCAGAGCCAGGTGACCAGCTGGGGGCACTGCAGAGGTGCCATGCAGCGGGACCAGGGAGCTCTGCCAAGACTGTGCCCAGGAGTGGGGGTGGAGGAGAGAGCCCCTGGGCAGGGCCGATGGGACGGTGCTGTGGGCTCCAGGGCAGGGGCCCTCGCCAGGCAGCGGCCAATGCTGGGGTGTGACTGTCCATCGCCCCTTAGCCTGTGCTGTGTGTGGCTCGAGGCTGGCCCTGAGGAATTGTGTGAGCAGAGCGCTTGGAGCCTGACTTCCCCGCCTGGACGCTGCTCGCTTGTCCCATTGTGGCTGTGGCAGGTCACCGGAGAGAAGCTGGTTCCCCAAACGCTCCTGCGCGCGGCGCTGGCCACACGCCAGGGAGCGCCCCCCCTCCTCCCCCCTCCTGAGGCAAGACGTTCATTTCCTGTGCATTGCTAGGCGGGGCTGGCTGGAGGAGCGCAGACGGCAGGGGCCGGGAAGGGGTTAAGCAAGCCGGAGCAGCCTGTGCCGGGCTGGCCCCTCGCCCTGTGCTGACAGCCCTGGCGTTTCCGCAGCCTTGTGCAGGCTCAGGGCTGCCTGGAACGTGGTTTCCTCTCCGCTCTGGGAAGCCTGGGGCCAAGCTGCCCTGGCTGGCGCAGGCAGGACTCCCGTAATGGCTCCTTTGAGCAGCAGGCTGCGGCCAGCTCACAGGGCTGAATCGGGCCCAGCTGGCCTGCTGGCGTAGGCCTGTCTGGAGCTGTGGGCTGTGCCCTCTGGCCTCCTGCCACTCTGCGGGCCATGGAGGAGGAAGAGGAGGCCATAGGGTATCTGGACAAAATCCTGGAGGATGAAGAAGATTCGGAGCCAGGCACCCCCACCAGCCCAGGCCCGGGGTGTACCTTCCTGGCCTCCAAGAAGGTGGGCACTCATCCGCCTGGGGAGGAGAGGGGGGCTGGGCTGGGGGGGGTGTTTGGGGTCCTTGTCAGTGTCAGCTTGTGTCACTGTGCCTGTGGGCAGAGCTGGGGGCTCCTGGCACCTCGGTGGTGGGTGCTGGGCTCTGTGGCATTGAGCCCTAACCCGGGGGGGCTGCCCCAGTCACTGGGATGTAGGTTGGAGGGACAGGCAGCAAAGTGCCCTCCTCTAACAGGGCCATGTCTCCTGCCGGCAAGCTGGGCAGAGCAGTGAGGTGTACCTGGGGCCGAGGCTGGGGGGCAGGGCAGGGAGCCTGGCCCGGTGACACCAGTGCTTGTCCTGGCCTCCCTCAGAGGGTGGTGATTAGGGCTCCGATGACTGGGGGAGGGGGACAGATTCCGTCCCTGGCTACAGGGCTGCCCTGCAGTACGAGCCCAGCCAAGCCCTGGTGCCAGTGGACCCAGCAGCCCTTCCCCTTGGCAGGACGCGTTGGACGGGGCAAAGGGGCTGCTGGCTCTGCAGGGCCCTGGGGCTACAGCCTTGGCCTCTGTGCACCGGGGGGGCTGGGGCCATGCACTGGCTGAGGAGCTGGGGGTCTCTGCGTACCCGGGTAGCAGTGTCTCCACTCAGCCACACAGGCCTCTTGCTGCCTGCTCTGGAGAGGCACTGGGCCAGCTCCTGCTCCGAGCCCCTGGCTCTGCCACGGATGTGCTGTGAGGCCTTGGGCATGTCCCCAGGTGCTGGCTGCTGCCCTCAGTAAAGCAGAGCCAGAACTGCTGGTCCCAGGGCTGGGGGCTCACAGGGGATAGCCGGGGGCTCTGGGACTTGCAGGCCCTGGACCTACCTATGCAGCAGGGGCAGCCCCCGCTTGCCGTTCCACTCCTCCTGTGCCCCCGAGAGGATGGCAGGGCCCAGTGCTACGGCCTGTGGGAGGTAGTGCCCCGGCCGGGCTTCCCAGACAGGCTTCGTGGGGCAGGTCCTGTGCTGGAGCCCAGAGCCGAGGCTGGTGCTCGCCTGCTCTGCCCTGGCATGGGCAGCAGGGCTGGGGCTGCCCCAGAGAAGCAGGACCAGCCTGTGACTAGTCAGTGGCTAAAAACCCACAAGAAACGGTTCTGGCCTCGCCCGGCTCCTGCCTTAAAGGCCCAGGGCTTGTCTGGGGAGGGGCTGAGGGCACTGGGCACAGTTGGGGGCAATGGGGATCGCCCTGCTGGGAGACAGGCCTAGAAGAGGTGCCTGGAAGTGATCCAGGCCCGTCCACTGGGGCCTGATTTTCCCCCCACCAGGTGCTGGGTCCCCCCTGGCCAGAGGGAGCAGAGGGTGCCGTGTGGTGGGGGAGGAGTATCTGGCTATCAGCAAATGGAGCTTCCTCCTTACCAGCAGGGCAGTGAGGCTCGCAGCCCCCACCTCACAGAACAGGGGAACTGCCCTCCCCCATGGCCGGGGAGACGGCTTCAGGACTGGGGGGGGGTGGTGGCCCTGGGCCAGCTCCAGGAAGGTTAGCACTTCCTGCCCATGGCTTCCAGTGGTGCTAGCCACGTCCCATGTCACAACAGCAGCCGCTGGTGCCCACCCAGGGCAGGGTTGGGCCCCAGTCCTTGCCGGGCTGGGCGTGCAGCCGTCCCTCCAGGCTCAGGGTGTTGAGGTGGGCCAGCTCCATGGGCCCCTCTGCCTGCAGGGCACTGACTGATGTGAGGGGGTCTGTGGCCTCGTGGGGGAGGCTGCATGGCCAGGGGCTCCCAGGCACCTCCTGGGAAGGGTCTGCCTTGGTGCCAAATGCTGGATCCAGCCGGGAGGGGGGTCGCTGAGTCCTCACCAGCTGAGCCCCGGAAATCGCCAGTGTTGCAAACCCTCCAGAGCGGCCCCTGCAGCAGCCCTGCCTCATGCTGGGGCTGGGCTATGGCCTGCAGCCCCCTCTGTAAAGAGCCAGGGGCCCTGAGGATCTCCAAGCATGGGGCGTGCGGGGTAGGGAGCTGTTGACTACAGGGCGGGGCTGAGATGCAGCCACTTCTGCTTTGCATGTGGCCACGCATGCGCCGCCAATCCAGGCCAGACTGGTCCCACTGCCCACCCTGCGTTTGGCCCGGACACCTGGGTTAGCACCCATGAGCCAGGGGGAGGCTCTTCAGACTCTTCCCGCACAGGGTCTTAGCTCTGGAAAGTGGCACTGGGAGCAGCTGGCACTGGGAGCGACCCTGGCTTCATGCTGAACTGCGCCCAGCCCCTGAGAAATCCCTCGCCCAGCCTGGCTCTGCGTAGCCAGGGGCCCTTGGCTCTGGGGCTGAGGGGGCTGGTTGGTGCTGCTGCCATGGCTGCTTGCCCCCTTGGAGCCCATGGGGGGGTGCGCTGCCTGGGCTCAGAGCCCTGGGGGGAGCCGGAGCCTGGTTGAGGAGGCCGTAGAGCGGGGCAGAGGGCGCTGGCTTGGGTGGAGCGTTAGGTTCCTGGGCTGCTGTTGTCCACAGGGCCTGGGGGCACATGGGGCTGCTGAAGCCAGGAGGCTGGCCACCAGAAGCTGCCCTGGGGTAGCCCAGCTCCTGTGCTGAGGCACTCCCACCCCTCGGACAGTGGGCCGTGCGCAGGGAGAGTGTCAGAGGGGAGACGGGTAGGACTGCGACCTGGCCCGAGGACGGGATCCCTGCTGGAGCGCCGGCCTGGGTGTGAGCGGGGGGAGCCAGGGAAAGGGTGGCGCTGGTACAGGGCCAAGGGAGGCGGGGTTCGGTGAGCAGCTGGCAGCTGGCCCAGTCCCTGCAATGAACATAACGTACCTGGCGGCTGTGGGCCTCGCCCTGGAGGGAGGGCCAATATCTGAGACCGCAGGAGCCCCAGCAATGGAGCTGGGATCCTGCCAACTGAGGAGGAGGGAGGACAGCAAAGCCAGCTCTGCCCTGGGCTTCCCACCACGCCCAAGGCTGATGCTGCTCCCCTGGCACCAGGCTCTGCCATGCATCTCCCTGGCCACGCCAGCCTCCCTCCCTGCGGAGAGCCCCTCCCCTGGGAGCGGATCCTGGGGGTTCCTCTTGCAGCACCTAGACCCTGACATCCCTTGTTGTCATGCAGGGCGAGCGGGATGCCGGGAAGGGGCTGGAGATGCGGAAGTTGGTGCTCTCGGGCTTCCTGGCCAGCGAGGAGATCTACATCAACCAGCTGGAGGCGCTGCTGCTGGTGAGTACGGCCCAGCGGGCGCCGGTCCCCTCTGCCAGGGCTAGCCCCCGGCACCGAGCCCTGCGCTTCCGGGTGCGAGGCTATGCCCTCCCGGGGTCTCTCCCCTGCCGCATCAGGTTCTGCAGGCGGGAATCTGGGCAGTGGGGCTCCAGCACCCCCTATGGGAAGCGGGCGTTCGGCTGGCTGGAGACCTGCCCCAGCTCCCTTCAGAACAGGGAGCATCCCTGCTGCGGGGTGCGTCTGTAACGTTAGCCCCACTCGCAATGGGAGCCAGCCTGGGCAGCCTCTCCGCCCCTCGTGGGAAGCAGGGTGGGCGGCTGAGGGTGCCGCTGCCTCGGGGGTGGGGAACCTGAGTAGCAGCAGTTCGGGTGGAGAAGGACGAGTCCCTCTGAGGCTGGGGTGGGTGCAGGTCTCTGTCCCCTCCTGGCTGCTGGGGTCAGAGCTGCTAATGCAAATGCGTCCTGCCCGCCCCCTGCCCAGGGGCTGGGATGCCTGGCCAGGCATGTAACTCCTGCATCTGTGGGATGGGGGCTGACCCATAGGTGCCCATTCCCCACCGCCACCTGCGGAGCGAGGGCTGACGTACGCTGGGGCCAGACGTCTCTCCACATCGCACCCTGTGCCTGGCCTGGCTGTCCCTTTCCTGGGCCCTCCTGCACCTCCTGGTGGCGCTGCCCTGGCACGCGGTCCTTCCCCTGTGAGCCCGCTGCCCTTGGGTTGCGCAATAGGCAGGGCTGTCAGGGTCCCGCCTTCCCCTTCCCAGCACAATGGGGAAGTCTGTGCGGACACGCAAACCGAAACTGCTGTCTGCAGCCCCCACACGGCATGGCGCGGGCAGCGTCCCCACACCGCGGGGCCTGGAGCCCCCTTCTCCTGCTCCCAGCTGGGTCCACGCCGGCCTTGGTTAGAAAGGGCTTCTGCAGATCTGTGAGAGGAGGGATGGCTGGATCCTGACCCACCCACCCACCCCCCCCTGCTAGCCCAGCCTTGGGCTCCCCCACCGACTCTGCCTGTGCCCCTCACTCCCGACCTGCAGCCTCGCTGGCTGTTCCAGCTTGAGGAGTTTCCTGCTCTGAGATCACACACTGAGTGGCTCTTCCCCCATCCCAGGGCAACATGGGGCTCGACCCTGGCAAACTCTCCTCACCTAGCTTGACCCAAACTTGCAGGCAAGTGCCAGAACTGAACATTGACCCCTTGTTTCCCATGGGCCTAGGACCCACGGGGTGGCCTCCTGGGATGCAACACCCCGGCTGGAGCAGGCTGCACTACATGGTGGGACCTGTAGTTCTCAGGGGCTGCCCCCCCTGGCCTGGCCTGAGAAGGGTGGCTCTCGGCTGTCCCATGTCATGCCAGTCAGGGGGCCCTCAAGCTCCTGTCTGGCTCTGCTCCGGCCCCTTGGCAGGCACCGAGCCTGGCCTGTCTCTGTGGCAGGTTCCTGCTCTAATGCTGGCTTCCCCTGCTCGCCGCAGCCTATGAAGCCCCTGAAGGCCACGGCCACCACCTCCCAGCCTGTCCTCACCATCCAGCAGATCGAGACCATCTTCTATAAGATCCAGGACATCTACGAGATCCACAAGGAGTTTTACGACAGCCTCTGCCCCAAGGTGCAGCAGTGGGAGAGCAAGGTCACCCTGGGGCACCTCTTCCAGAAGCTGGTAAGCTCTGCTCCCCTGCAGGTGGCTGGGCATGGCTGGGATCTGGGGCGTTGGCCCTGGGGTGGGGGCAGGGCTTGTCTTCTGGCTCCTCGCCTGCTCGCTGCCAGGAGAAGGGAGGGATTGAGCTGAGTCCAAGGTGTTCTTCCCAGGTGCAAGCCTAGGCTGGAGGGGGAGTGGCAGAGCTCTGTGTGGGGCTGGCCGGGGGTGGCTCCTGGGGAGACCAGGGCTGGGGCTGCAGGTCCACACAATCGGCAGGCTCCCCTCCTGCTCCCTGGTGCCGGGGAGCCGAGTGGGGCTGTGGGCTCTGGCTGGGCTGTGCCAGGGCAGTTTGGAAGAACAGGGACCAGGCTTTGAGAGTCTCTGGAGCAGCAGCAGGTGGCTGCAAACCCCTCTGGATAGGGGTCTGGGCCCCACGGAGCCGGGTGACTGTTGCGACAGCTCACACCAAGTTGGGCCATGCGCAGGCTGCAGTCGCTGCTCCGATCCCATGCGGGCTCGCACCCTGGGTGTGCTCAGCAGCAGCCCCCCTGAGTGAGGCTGATGGAGCCTGCGGGGCTGAGGGCTTGGGACCGTTTCTCTCTGGTCTGTCTCCTTCCAGCACCCCAGTGACAGGCAAAGCCCCCTGAGCTTGGAGATGAGCAGGGCTGGGTTATGGCAATCCAGGCTCCCTGTGGCTCCACCCCCGGCTTGGCACTGCACAGAGCCCATGCCCAGAGAACAACAGGTCCCCTTGGCTCCCTGGGGGGCAGAGTGGGCGATTCTCTCCTGTCACACGGAGCCTTGGGCAGGAGCTGGTGGGGGCCCCGGGGCAGCGGAGTTCGGCGTTAACAGCATTGCTATGTCGGTTACGCTGGCAGCGGGGGAGTACTTCCCTCTTCAGAGCTGGTGGCACAAGCTCTCAGCAGACTCGGGCAGATATCGCTGTGTCAGTTACGTGGGGCTCACGGGTCCCACCTTACTTCCTGACTGCAAAGGGCCAGGAACTGATCTCTCTGTGCTTGCTGCGAGGCCTGGCTCCAGGAGCTGGGGCCTGGCTCCAGGAGCTGGGGCCTGGCTCCAGGAGCTGGGGCCTGGCTCCAGGAGCTGGGGCCTGGCTCCAGGAGCTGGGGCCTGGCTCCAGGAGCTGGGGCCTGGCTCCAGGAGCTGGGGCCTGGCTCCAGGAGCTGGGGCCTGGCTCCAGGAGCTGGGGCCTGGGAAGCCTTAATCTGCTCTGAGTGGCTGCTGCTAGCTAGGTGAGAGGGCTGCCAGGCCCTGGCACAGGGGGAGGGCCGTGCAGACACTCCTGGGAAGCCGATTGCTCCAGGTTCCCTGTTTGCTTCGTAGGCTCATGCAGCAGCAAGCGCCTGCTCTCAGGGGAGCTTGGCGGGCTGGTGTGCCGGGGGTTGGTTTGTTAGTGGCTGTGCTGGGGAAGCTTCCTTCTACCTGCGCCCTCTGGTCCCTGTCCTGTGGGGAGCCCCCTGTACCCGCTGCTGTGGGGTGGGGCTGGGAGAACATCCCTGTGCCGGGGAGGCTGGTTCCTGGCCCCCGGCAATCCACTCTCGCCCAGCACGGCCTGGGCACCTTCTCCCAGCTCCCTGTGCCCACTGCAGGGGCTGATGGGCGTGAGTGTCTCCTGCAGGCTCCTCCTAGGGGTCAGTGACCTCCCCAAAGCAGCCAGGCTGGGGAGAGGAGGCTGCACCGAGCTCTGCTGCCTAGGGAGGGGTAGCTGGCACACATGGAGCCTGCTGCTGCGGCCCACCCCAGCCGTCAGGCCGCACCTGGGGTCCTGTTAGAGCCCCTGACTCCGGGGTGGGCAGCACTTCGGGGGGGGGGCCCGGGCAGAGTTGCTGGGGCAGGCGCTTCCCCAGAAGGGAGCACCCCTGGCCGTGTGCCCCTTCTCCCCGCCCAGGAGGAACTCGCCTGCTCCCCCGCCCCAGCTGGGCAGGCATGTGAGAGGGGCCGGCTCCGGGGGAGCGCCCCCCCCTGCTCAGGTTGCTATGGAAACTGCTGAAGGCAAAGTTCAAAGGAGAGGGCCCCCATCCCAGGCGTGTCCTGCCAGGTCTTGTGGGTAATCCCCCTCTCCCCTCCTCCGCTCGCCCCCAGGCCAGCCAACTCGGCGTGTATAAAGCCTTCGTGGATAACTACAAGGTCGCGCTGGAGACGGCGGAGAAATGCAGCCAGAGCAACAACCAGTTCCAGAAGATCTCCGAGGTGAGCAGGGCGGGCCTCTCTGGCAGCTGCCCCGGGGGGGCGGAGGGGGGGTGTTTGCTGGAAGCCTCTGGCCCTGAGCCCAGCCGCGCTTGCTGGGTGGTGGCATGGCACAGGGCTCGCGAGGCACCGAATGGATCCCAGGGCAGGACCCAGCCTGCTCTCCCCTCTTCACTGGCTGGCGTGGGGGGCGACCTGGGCCCGGGGGTGCGGCTCCAGCTGCTGATCCCGCTGCACTGGTGCCTGGGCTCCGTGGTCTGGTGTGAACACAGCAAGGTGGCGAGCGTGGAGCATGTGCCCTGCAGGTAGGGTGACCAGATCCAAAATTTGGGGCTTTGTCTGTCTTATATAGATGCCTATTACCCTTCAACCTCTGTCCTGATTTTTTTTTTTTTTCACACTTGCTGTCTGGTCACCCCTACCTGCAGGCTCTGTCCAGAGAGCTCAGTGGGGGTCAGGTTGGAGCCCCTCCTTTGCCCTCTGGCTGGGATATGGGGAGTTGGGGAGCTCACTGGCCCATGCGTGCTGAGAACTGACTGGCTCAGTGGCGTGCAGCACCCACTGCTATAGCAACAACCTGCAGGCATTCAGGCAGGTGTCCCTGGAGAGCAGCATCCCTGGGCCAATGCTAGCCTGTGTCCCAGGTGGGCTCCATGGCCCCCATGGTGACGTCTGGGTGCTCTCGGGGCATAGTAACGGGGCTGGGCTGGGCTGAGCAGGGCTGGCTCCAATGTCTGTTCCCAATGCAGGTGCACTCCGGCTGGGAGTAGAGCGGTGGGAGCCCACGGGCAACGGCCTTTCCCATTGCCAGGCTTCACTGAGACGTGTCTCTCAAACCCATTTGGTTCTTGCAGACCTGGCCCCCTGCACCCCAAGCCTGGCTCAGTCACGTGAGCTCCCTGCCTGTTCCCATGTGGCACTTGCTGGCAGACATGGTGCTTTCTTGGCGCCATGCGCGAATGGCAGACCCCGGCGCTGTCCCAGCTGCCGAGACCCGGCTCCCTGTGCTCCCAGAGGCTGGGCAGGGTGCAGGGATATTCCCTACTGTGTCCAGGCTGTGGGACTCGGGTCTTGGCAGATAGCTCCAGGCTTCCTGGCTAGGAGTTGTGATTACCAGTGTGGAACTGGATTTGAACCCCAAACTCCTCCTGCACAGGGCAGGCCACGGGGACCGGGCTGCTGCAGTACATTCTGGAGCAGCCTTTCATCATGTCTTCTGGCATTTGCTGTCTCGCCCTGGGGTGCATCGTGTGTGTACTTGGGGTGCAGCAGGACCCCCATGTAGGGTGGGGAGCAGCCCTGCTCCTGCTTTTCCCCCTCTGCAGAGAACGAGCCCCTCTGCCTGGGCCTTTCCTGGAGCTGCAGTAGCTCTGGGGGCCCAGATGACCTGGGCCAGGGCTGGCTGCCACCTGGGGGATCTGGCTCTGTTGTAGCATCCACAGCATAGGGCTGGAGCAGGAGCAGCCCTAGGGGCACTTCTGGCCTGTGTGTGCCTGAGTCTGAGGTGGTTTGCTCTGGGACACAACAGAGCCCCCTGCCGAGCCAGCTGGACCGGGCACCTACCCAGAACCCTGGCCCCATGAGTCCCCAGGCTGCCGCTCCAAGCCTCCTAACGAGCCTCTCTCCTGTGGGCAGGAGCTGAAAGTGAAGGGCCCCAAGGACTCCAAGGAGAGCCACACCTCAGTCACCATGGAAGGTACAGCGTGCATGCGCGGGTGGGGAGGGGGCTCTCCGCCTTTGTCTGCGGCCCCGAGCGCATGCATTATTGATCAGCTCCCGCGTGTGAGTGGAAAGCCCTTTGTGTGCCCGTGCGTGGTGCTGATGCTCCCCTCGTTAGGATGCTAGCAACGTCTGGCAGCCCCCCGCCCCCTCCCCCCGCTCCGCCGAGGTGCTGATGCCGTGTTGCAGCCGGGCTGAGCTGCCAAGGGGAGGCCGGGAGCCGGCCACAATGGCCGTGCGGAGACAGGGCTGCCATGGAGATCCTCCTCATTGTCCGGCTCTGCTGTAACTGCACCTACGGTGAGTCGGGGCGTGGGGCAGGGCCTCTGGGGGCGCCGCGACTCCTAGGGGGAATTTAGCCCAGCTTCTGCAGGGCCAAATTGGACAGATGGGCAGCCCGGCCGGGGCTGTTCCCAGTGTGTGCTGCCCCTGGGAGTGGTGCTGCTGGGCCTGGAGGTCTGAGCTGGGGGGTTTCTCCCCCCTGGCGCCGTGCTCTGCAGCCTGAAGTTGGTAGTTTCTTTGTTCCGGGCGGTGAAGGGCCACGTTGATTGTGCTCTGCCAGGGCATGTGCAGCCTTGTTCCTGGGAGCGGCAGCAGCCAGGGGAGGATGAGCTTCTGGGGGTGTCGGGGAGAAGCCAGACACCCTCTGTCAGGCATGTGAAATCATCACTGAGCCCGAGGGGCTGGCGAGGTGGAGGGAAGGAGTTGGGGAGGGTCCCATGGCACCCTCGCACAGCGGGGTGGGTCTGTGCCAGGCTGGGCAGGTCTCATTGGCTTGGCTTGGGCTGTCCCAGCTGGCATGTGAGCCGTGAACGTCTGACCTTCACCTGAGGCTAGTGCCGAGCGGGGCTGGCAGTGGGTGCTCTGACTGCGGGGGGGCGTGGTACCTGTCCCTGCTCCTGGTTGGGATCTGGCTCCTGCTGGGCCTGGCGTTCTTTCCTTTGGGTGGTGGACACCGTACACACCCCTCCCAGATCACCGCCAATGGAGGGGCTGGAGCAGCAAGTGACAACAGATGGGTCCATTCTTGCCGCTGACTGCGGGAGGCTGGGAGGGGAGTGGCTGGGCCAGCGGGGGCTTTAATGTGCCACTCGGCATGTAGAGAGTCCAGGGGAGATGAGCCACTTGCCCCTAGCTCTTGGCCCTTGTTTCCCCCAGCCAGTGGGGGGAGGGGGTATATTTGGGGTGGGGGGGTGCCTTGCTGGGTGTGTGCACGATACCCCCCCACACACACCCCTGCTCTGGCTTCCTGCTGTTGCAGAGGTGGGGGCACAGCTGCCTGGGAGGGGCCAGCACCTCATCACGCTTACCCGACGTGGAGTCCTTGTCCCAGGGCTGAGAGCAGCCGTGTGCTGGCCCAGACCTGAGCGCCCCCCCCCCCCCCCTACCCCACCGGCTGGTCGGATGCCTGAGTCCTAGTGCTTCAGGAAAGGGGAGCAGGTTTCCTTCTCCTCGGGCAGCTCCAAGTGTGTTCTCACAGGCTTTGGGCCAGGAAAAGTGGTTTGAAGGGAAGGGAGAATGCAGTTACATCTGCTCAGGGTATAAATAGACTAGGGAGTCATGCAAGTCACCTGCCAGGCTGGGCTGGGAAGGGGATGGGAGGGGTTTGTGGGAGTCGCGTGCGCACATTCCTTCTGCTAAGAGTGAAAGGCACAAGGGTTTGGAGCCCTCCCGGGCCCTCACACAGTGTGGGGAAGATCAAGCTCTTCATCTCCAATGAATGCTGAGCCCCAAAGGGGTGTGCAGGTTGCAGGGGCAGTTCCCCACCTTCCCCTTTGGAGTCGGGTCCGGCTTGAGCCTCCCCATAAGTCAGGGGTAGCAGCTGCCTGCACCATCCCGTTGTGTCTGGAAACATGTGGGGTCCCACGAGCCAGCACGCCGCTGGTAACTGCGGGAACTCTGCCGGGTCAGTCAGTTTTCCCCCCTGAGTCTGGTGGGTCTCGGAGAGAGGGAACCGGAGCCGCTGGCGGGGGAGCTCCAGGGCCGGTGTGGTAACCGAAAGGACCTGGACCTCCTGGAGGTGGCGTGGATTGGGGGCCATAGAGTGCCCAGGGCGGTTTGTCAGCTCCAGGGAGAACAGGACTGTTGTAAAAGGCCAAGGTTCCCCTGGCCGAGTTTTGCAGCTGGACCCCATGTCCAAGGCTGGCTCCGTGCTCGGGACGTGGCTGGCATGGCTCTGTCGGTTTGGGGGCGGCAGGGTTCAGCTGGGACAAGGTCTGCGTGTGGAGAGCGAAGCAGACTGAAAAAGGGGAAACTGATGGGGGAGAAGCGAGAACAGGAAGCAGGCTGGGCTCACAATGCCTAGCCCTGGTGGTGGTGGTCCCTGGTAATACAGGCGAAGCCAGTGCCGGGTACCCTCCCTGTCCCTTGCTGCAGCCCCCTGGCGCGGGGTGAAGCGCTAATGCTCGGTGGAGCGACACAGCAGGGGCTGCGGGGTCAGCACTGAGGTGCGCTGGTGGGTCAGTGTGCGGGAAACTCACGGCCTTGGGCTGAGCTGTGTCTGATTCGAGTGTCTTCCCAGATCCTGGCCCCCGCACCACATTCCCAGCCGGTGGTACTGGGAATTCCAGCCTGCCAGGGAATCGAAACTGTCCCGGGCACAGGGCGTGGCCCAGCCCCTGGGACCCATGCAGAGACTCGCACGGCCAGGTGTGAACCCATCTGGATGCCCCCAGGTTTGCTGCAGCCAATGGCTTGCTCTGTGCGGACACACGTGGCTATCTGAGCAAGTGACTGGGGTGGGCTGTGAAGTGCTGGCCTGGCCAGGCCAGGGGCTTGGAACTGCTGATGGTTGGAGACCCCATGTGTGGATGTGGGGGGAGCTGCCTTGCTCAGCTGCCTAGCGAGGGGCTGGGATGGGGCTGAGCTGGGGCAGCCCCTTTCTGATGCTGGTGCCTCTCCCCCACAGCGCTGCTGTACAAGCCCATCGACCGTGTGACGCGGAGCACCTTGGTACTGCACGTGAGTATGGCTCCGGCTTGCCCCCGGGGACACCCCCTGCCCACACACGGCCACTGCCACTTCCTGCCAGCCCCACCCACCAGAGTCCTAGTATGGGGGCCATGCCAGGGGAACACATTCCAAGGCCCCCCTTGGCACCGCCCCAGCTCTCGGGGGCACCTGTGCCAGGCTGTGCTCACGTCCTGCTTCCTCTGCTGCCTTTGTCTGTCTGGCACAGGATGTGCCAGGCTCCCCTGTGTCTGGACCCACTGCTTGGATCAGCAGCCTGTGCTGCTGTTCCCCACCACCACCCCCGGAGCGTGCTGGGGCGCGGCACCCTGGGGACCCCTTTCCTTCCCTCCGTCCCTGCTGGGGGCACTGTCCAGGAACAACCTGCTCTGAGGTGGGGAGGGGTGGGTGGGTGGTCTTTGCACCTGGAGGGTTAGTCCTGCAGGGGAGGGAGCAGGAAGCTATAGCAGACTAACCCCTTGTGGCCAGGATGGCAGGCCTTGCTCCAAGCTCCTAATGCTGCTGGGTCTCTAGGCAGTGGGCTCTGACTTGGAGCGGAGCTTGGTTGGGGGCCCAGTGCTGCCCTAGCAGCTAACCCGCTGCAGTCTGTCCACCCCCACGGTGGGGGGCTCGCTGGTTCTGCCTTGGCTTGCTCACGAGCACCCGCTCCGTTCCAGGACCTTCTCAAACACACGCCAGCTGACCACCCCGACTACCCGCTGCTGCAGGATGCCCTCCGCATCTCCCAGAACTTCCTGTCCAGTATCAATGAGGACATTGACCCGCGGAGGACAGCAGTCACCACACCGAAGGGAGAGGTGAGGCAGGGCTGCTGGGGTGAGCTGCCTCCGACTCTCCTGGTGTGTTAGCAGCAAAGCCACTTCTGCCCAGCCACTGGAATGAAGGCCGGCTGCAGGAGACAGTCTGGCCCATGGAGAAGTGGGGAGATGTGCCTGGCCCCCCCCCCACTGAGCCAGGTCGGGAGTGTTGCCCTGGGGCCTGCTAGCTCAGCTGGCTGGCCCCAGACCTTAGTGGTGTGTTGGGGCACGTGCTCTGTGAGGGACCTGGGTTCTGGGGCGAGAGCCCTGCATGCGGTCTGTGGTGGGGGCTGGTCTGGTCCGTGCCTGAACCGGATTGCCAGGTGACTGGGACCCATGGTGGGAGGGCCGAGCTGGGGTTGTCTTCCAGCAAGCCCCCTCATGCACCATGGTACGCTGGGCAGGGGCCCAGTCCGTGGGCAGGGCCGCCCTCTGGGGCCGTGGCTTGAGGGACCAAGCAGTTGCCAAACAGGAACCCAGTTGGCATCTCTGATTACTGGGAGAGGGGAGGCTGGGAGGCTTTTGCAAGGCTTCCCCCCACCAGGCGTGGTACAGGAACCTCTCTGGGTCCCATTAAGGGGGTGGAGTGGCTGGGGTGGGGTGGGAGGGTTCACCAGCTGATGGTATGATCCGTGAGCTGGCCCAGCCTAGCCGTGGCTGTTGGGGCCCTTCATGTCTTGTGTGGGCCCTCCCTACTGCAGCAATGGGGCTGGCTTCAGCCTGACCTCTCTGTGTGTCTGGGCTGCCCTTTATCCCTGCCCTGCTGGGGAAACACTGGGCTCTTAGCTGGCTCTTGGGAAGAGACCCTCCAGCTGCAGCCCAGGTCCAGGGTCTGGTGCTGCTCTTCTCTCTGGTCTGAGCCCAGCCAGCCCCACAGGGCCCCTCCTTGGGGTGCCGTCTGTCCCCAGGCCAACCGGGTTTTGTAGCTCACACACACTAGCCATGAGTGGCCGATGGCAGGGCTGCCTCCTCTGGGGAGGTTGGAGGCCTGGCTGCCCCCACGTGCCATCTGGCCTGTGCGCGGGCTGAGGGTCCCGGCCTCCAGCCTCTCCTCACGGCAGGCCCTGCTCTCTCCCAGACACGGCAGCTGGTGAAGGATGGCTTCCTGGTGGAGCTGTCCGAGGGCTCGCGGAAGCTGCGCCACGTCTTCCTCTTCACCGACGTCGTCCTCTGCGCCAAACTGAAGAAGACCGCCGTGGGGTAAGGTGGGCGCCACCCTGGGCGGGGGGTAGACCTGCAAGGGGCAGGGGCGTGTTGGGTGCTGTGGGGCTCCTGGCCTGGCTGCTCTGTGCACAGCAAGGCACGCTGGGGTCATGGGCTCAACCCGGGCGTGTCGCTGCAGGAAGCACCAGCAGTATGACTGCAAGTGGTACGTGCCGCTGGCCGACCTTGTGTTCCCGGCCCCCGAGGAGTCGGAGCCCTGCCCGCAGGTGCACACCATCCCGGACCACGAGCTGGAGGACATGAAGATAAAGATCTCGGCCATCAAGAGCGAGGTGCAGAAGGAGGTGAGCCGGGGGCGTTGGGCTTGCTGGCATGCGGTACTGGGGGGCTGCGCCCGTGCCCAGAGAGGGAGCTCTTGTATTTACTTCTGCTTGGGGGGTGGAGGGGGAAGGGCCCTGGCCAGCTCCCTAAGCTGAGAACTAGTACCCAGCCTGGGGCAGGGCATGGGCCTGCTGTGCCCCCCTGGCACCTCCCTGTCTGTGCCCCATCTCCTGGCCTGGCTGGCGCTGGGGGAGGCAGAGGGACTCCTGCATGGATTGTGGATCCCACGTGCTGGCTGACTCCCACTTCTTGCTCTTCCCTCCTCAGAAAGCTGGCAAGGGGCAGAGCCGAGCCATCGAGCGCCTCAAGAAGAAGATGTTTGAAAACGAATTCTGGCTGCTCCTGAACTCCCCCACCATCCCCTTCCGCATCCACAACCGCAACGGGAAGGTAGGGGCTACCGGCTGTGGGCTCATCGAGAGCTGCTGATGGGGCTTGAGGAGGCTGGAGAGCTGGCCTGGCCAGGACTCTGCTTCCCTCAGCTGGTCACTGTGGGGTTCCTCTGCCGTCCTCAAGGGCACTGCCCTCCCTCGGAAGGAGTGGGGTATCTGTGTGGGGCCGGGGCTCTGAGTGGGGCGATGCACGCTGACCACACGGGCCAGCATCCCTTGTGCTCCCCTCCGGCTGGCCGAGCTGCTCTGTGCGGGCTGGGATCGCTCCCTGCCACGGCTGGTCTGGGGGTGCCCAGTACCTCCTGTGGCACTGCGGGGGCCTCGGTTTGCTCAGCTGCCCTGACGCTGTCCCGTCCCTTTCAGAGCTACCTGTTCCTGCTCTCCTCGGACTACGAGAGGTCAGAGTGGAGGGAGGCCATCCAGAAGCTGCAGAAGAAGGGTGAGGCCCTGTGCCGCTGGAGGCCCTGCGGGAGGAGCCTGTCTCTCGGGGCTCCCTGGGGACGTCCTTGGGGCTTGTGCTCGCTGCTGCAAAGCCATTCCTGCCAGGGGTCCAGGCGTGCCGGTGGCCTTTCTGGGCCGCCCCTTGGGAGGTCCCGCGGTGCACACAGCCCCCTGAGGCCAGCGGCAGCGCACGGGCACCCCTGGCCGCGGCTGCTTACCACCCCCTTCTGATCCCACAGACCTCCAGGCCTTCGTGCTGAGCTCGGTGGAGCTGCAGGTGCTCACGGGGTCCTGCTTCAAGCTGCGCACCGTCCACAACATCCCTGTCACCAGCAACAAGGACGGTGAGTGTCTCCCGCCGGGCCCTGCTCCCTGGCTCCCCCATGGAGCGTGCCAGAGCACACACCGTAAATCTCCAACGGGAGGGCGCGTGGGGCCAGCTGCCACCAGCTCTGGTGGTGCCCATGCTCCCGCTCTCTGCCTGGGCTCCTGCCTGCTGGCGTCGGCTCAGCTCTGAGCCAAGATCTGTCAGGTTGGGGGGGATAAGTGCAGCGTCCTGGCTAACAGCGGGGCTCTTACAGAGGGGGTTGTGCACTGCGGGACAGGACTCCTGGTTCTGTGGCAGGCTCTGCTGGGCCTCGGGGTAACGGTCTCTGCCTCCTCGGGTCTGTAAAGCACCCAGGGCTCTGATGCCAGGGCTGTTGGCTCCTGCCCAGTGGTTCTGAGGCTCAGATGGTTGTGGAGTGTCTGTGCCCACTAGGTGGTGCTGTGAGAGCAGAGCAGCATCAGGCCTGGCTTGGGACGGGCTCGCTGGGCAAACGCAGCTGCTCAGAGCCCCATGGCACCACTGTGCCCGTCTGGCAGGGGAGGGCCCTGCCTGCTGGGGGCTCGGGCTGGCATGGTGTGCCTGTACCCCCATGATGGGGTGTGGGAATCATGCTGGCCATTCTGTGGGAACCCATTGCTGCACCCCACCTGGAACCCCCTCCATGGGGGCTGTGGACCTGCCCCTCACATGGCCACAGGGGTCACTGCTGCACAGTAGGAGTCTCTGGTCTCCTACCCCCCGGCCCCCATGAGAGCACGGGGCACAGCTGGTGTCCGTGGCAGAGATCTGGGCACAGGGCAGCTGTCTTGTCTGCAGGGCTCTCGCCCACCCAGCTCTTGCTGGGTGGGTTTAACTGGTGGTGCTGGGAAGCCAGTTCCGGAGGTGCCCAGTGACTGAAGCCTGGGCATCCTGGCTGGGACAGGTGCAGTGGGCAGCCCTCCAGCAGGGTGCTGCTCACTGCAGGGATGGGAGTAGCATGCCTTGCATTATCCTGGCAGTGAACGTGCCTGTATGCTCCCCTCTGTCCCCACCGCCCCCACTCCTGACCCACAGCCCCCTGCAGCTCCAGCCTCCCTGGCTGGGCACGGGCTGGGCGCTAGGGAGGTGAGTGAAGGCTGAGATGCTAGGTGCCGGGCTTGCAAGCCAGGACACTAGCTCCACTGCCGAGGTGAAAGGCTGGGGCGGGGGTCAGGGCTCCCTGCAGCCCCAGTGCCCGGCTAGCAACAGGCCCGGATTCTAGGCCAGCCAGGGCTGTGAGCCCTAACGTACCCTTGTGCTTCTCTCTGCCGCAGATGACGAATCCCCGGGACTCTACGGCTTCCTGCACGTGATCGTCCACTCGGCCAAGGGATTCAAACAGTCTGCCAGTGAGTGTCCGCTCCATGCTGCTGGGTCCTGGCTGAGAGCGGGGCCTAGCCCTGGCCCTGGGGCCTAGCTGTACCCACCCAGGGGTGCAGAGGGCCACTGGAAAGGGGAGAGACCTCTCCTGCTGCAGGGTGAGCTGCCTATGTTCGTGATGGCATCTGCCCTGGGAGCCTGGTGGTGCCCATCCTATTGGGCCCTGGCTGGGGAAGGACTGGGGACTCTGTGTGAGCTGAACATGAATCCCTGGAGCCCTCTGACTCGTCTCCTCTTCCCCAGACCTCTACTGCACTCTGGAAGTGGACTCCTTCGGGTACTTTGTCAGCAAAGCAAAGACCAGGGTTTTCCGGGACACGACCGAGCCGCAGTGGAATGAGGTGAATTCGCCGCTAGGGGACTGAGGGGATCCTGCTAGAGCCAGGGAAAGGACGGCACCCCCAACTCCCGTTCCAGCCCTAGGCTGCACCCCCTGCTCCGCTGGTGCCCCTCAATCCTGACTCGTAGCCATGCCCCTGCTAGTCAAGTCCCAGGCTTCCTTCTCCTCCCCCAGGCCGTTCTTCCCCTTCCTGCTATGCCAGCTCTGGGCTCCCCAGCTCTGCCGCGGCCCCCCCAGAGCCCGGCCGCTGCTGCATGAGGCCAAAGTGCCGTGCGGTCAGACACATGGGCCCAGGCACCATTGCCCAGCCCTGCTGTCCCTGGCCCCTGCTGGGCGCGTCTCAGGGCTGCTCCTTGGCTCAGGCGCTGTCCCTCTCGCTCCCCAGGAGTTCGAGATCGAGCTGGAAGGTTCGCAGTCACTGCGCGTCCTGTGCTACGAGAAGTGCTACGACAAGACCAAGCTCAACAAGGACAACAACGAGATTGTGGATAAGATCATGGGCAAGGGGCAGGTCCAGGTAAGGCTGCGGGGGGGCCTCGGGGCAGCTGGAAAGTCTGTGTCCCCCTGGCCTGGGGCTGGCCTGCCTGTGCCAGAGCAGCTCTCAGGGCTGCAGCAGCAGCAGCACGAGCCTGGCCTCCCCTTGCCCGTCTGGGAATGGCCAAACGGAGAGGCCATGCTGCGATCTGCTTGGTGCTGCCAGGACTCCCCCGCGGGCGCTGTGTCGCTGGCAGAGCCGCTCCCTTCCCTTCCCACCAGACTGGGAACATCCGGTGGGTGGGTTTGTTTTTCTGTCTGGCGCACCGCGGTTCTGTTGGATTCTGGCTCCGAAGCCATCGGTGCTCGCTGGCTGCCCGGCCGGTGGATGCCTGGGGTCAGGCTGAGATGGAAGGTGTGCTGGGCGCCCTCTCCCTGGCGAGCAGGGGCTCTCGCGATGCCTGAGACTGAGGGGCGGAGATCTGGCCAGGTCAGGGCTATCTGTGGACTAACGGGTGGGCTGGCTCCAAAGCCGTCTCAGCCCCGGCTGGATCTTGGCTGGCAAGCGTGCTCGGCTCTGAGGGCGGAAGGGGCCGGGAGTAGGGGAGGCCCGGCTGGCGTGGAAGCTGGGTTAGGTGGCTGGAGGGTGCTGGGCGGTTCCCCAGGCTCTAATTGTTTCCTTCCTGTCTGGCCCGGCTGTAACGATGCTCCCAGTGGGAGCTGGCTGTGCCGCCCGCCAGTGCAGAGGAATGGGGGGGCTGGCAGCTCCCCACATGAGCGGGGACGCTCCCCATGGCATCCTCTGTTTGTTTGCTGGCTGGGGGCAGGGTAGGAGCTGGGGCTCCGGACTCTGCCCCCTGCCCTGTCACCTCTGTGCGTCCGTCTCCCCCTGCCAAATGGGGATGTCAGCTGAGAGCGGTGGGGCGACTGGCTGGTGGTCTCCAGGAGCACCCTCCCCAGTCTGCCCGCTGCGGCGCTGCCCTACTCCCTGGTGTTGCAGGGTCCCGTGGTGATGCTAAGGCCCAGCTATTGGCCAGGCCCGTGCTGGCGGGAGGGGAAGACTCTCTCACTGTCTGGGCGTGGGGCCAGGGCTGAGCCCACACAGTCGTGGTCCCACCCATGGTACCCCCTGTGCGATCCGTGCAGAGCTCAGCCCTTCCCGGCTCCTGCTGCTGCCTTCAGTCACCAGCGCTGCAGTTATAGCAACTGGGGTTGCCGGGGCAACTGTCTCTTGGTTGGGTAGGGAGGATGGGGGCTTTGCTGCATCCCCGAGGATGTGCCCCTGGCTCAGCACAGGAGGGGTGTCAGGAGGTGCAGGAAAGGGGGAGTGGCCAGTGTGCCCCCAGGTGTTCTAGGGTGCAGCTGAGGGTGCTGGCTTCAGCCCTGATGTAGGCAGGGTCCCTGTTACCATGGAGACTGTCTCCCTGTGTGGTGATGAGTACTGGGCCCCCGGGCGAGAGGCCAGAGGTGCGTTCAGTGAGGGGAACTTGGCTGTGGGATTGGTGACCCCACTGGCTGGCTGGAGCTGCGCCCTGGTTTCCTTCAGGCTATGCCACAGCACCCCTCTGCTCTTGTAGGAGCTGGGAGGTGGCAAGGGGGCTGGGTCCTAGGTCAGGGCTGGGACTGTAGGGCCAGCGTGGAAAGCTGCCCCTGGGTTCATCCCTCCAGTTATCTGGGCACAGCCCATGTCGAAGCAATAGCACCCATGGAGTTGCTGGCGGATGGCACTCCCCTTGCAGGGTAAAGGCTCTGCTTGTGGGGCTCATGGGTTTTGTGTTAAGGACTTTGTGCTGGGCAGGGTTAGGGGCTTGTGGGGCTCGTGCTGAGCCGCTGGATGGTCCGACACTGCTTCCCCAGGTGGGGTGGTGCCCCCGGGCCAGCCCCCGGAGGGATCAGCGGCTCACAGGCCCTGCAGGCGTTTGTAGAGTCCTGTTGTGGGTCAGCAGCAACGGGGTGCTAGTGGATCTGTACCCAGCTATCAGGCTCCACCAGGCCTCTGTGCTCCCCCCACGGGTGGGGCTAAGTGTTCGAGCCGCCTGCACAATAGCTCTGGAGCCCAGGAGCTGGCAGGGAGGGGAGGTAACTTCCAGCCCCCAGTTCCAGGCCCTCGCCAAGCCAGGGGAGGGGCCGAGTGGCCCTGTGTCCAGCCCCTGGTGCGGGCAGGTTTGCTCAGGCAGGCCTGTCGCACAGAGGCAGTTGTGGCCCATGAGAGCCTGTGCCCGCAGCAGGGACCCTACAAACCTGCTGCAGTAAATCGGCCTCGTGACCGTGGCAGGGGTGGGTGGCGCATGGCACAAGCAGCTCCTCTCTGTGTGGTGCGGAGCTGCAGCGGGTACGCTCGGCTCATCGGGAGCCAGCCAGCTGCCCTGGGAGGGTGCCGCTGGGCTAGTGGCAGGAGGCTGGCTCCCAGTTCCTGGGCAGAACCCAAGATGCGAGTCCAGCGCAGTAGCTTCCCCTGGCCCTGCTCTTTCCAGCCTGTGGATCACTGCAGCAATTGGGGTTCCCCGGCGCTTTCCTAGGGCTGGCGAGGGGAGGGGCAGGGCCATGGCTCAGCCGTGCAGGGGCAGAGGGGATTTGGGTCTCCTGGCAGCTCTGCTAAGCCTGATGTTTGCAGTGGGGGTGTGGTCATGGCCTGAAACCTGCCAGAGGAGCAGTGAGCTGGGGCTGGCTGCCCTGAGCCAGCTGCTTGGGACCTGGTTAATTCGAAAGCCTGGGGGTTGGCTTCCCCCCCCCCCCCGCCTCCACCCCCTCCCCCCATGGCGCAGACTACATGGTGCCTGGGGGTGGCCTGGCCTGCCTGCCAGCTCATCCCTGCTGCCTATCCCTGTGCTCTGGGACTGCTGCTCCAAAGGGCCTGTGTGATTAGCCCCACTCTGCCTGCTCCATGGGAAAGTAGCTGTGCTGGCCAGCCCCTGGGGAGCTGGGGGAGGGAGCAGTGCTGCCGGGAATGGGGGGGAGTGGAGCCAAAAGCCAGCTCAGATGGAGTGCAGGATGGGGCGAGGGACCGAGTTCAAAGCCCTGCTCCACTGTGCCATGTGATTCTCCAGCTTTGAACTGGATTAGCAGCAGGTGAGGGGCTGTTGGCGTCACCCTGGGAATATGCAGGGGGTGGTCAGCAGGAGGGACCGGGGGTCCTGGTGTCTGGAGAACAGCAGGGCCATGCAATAGCCTTGTGTCAACATCCATGATTCACGTGAGCCCAGTCAGGGACATGGGAGCCAGTGCGGGGCCAGGTGCAGGAGCCTGGCCTCCTCTGGAGGAAGAGCACTGCGCTGTGTGAACCTTGGGGGGAGCAGGCATGGGCAAGAGGCCCCTGGGCCCAGAGAGTTGAGAGGAGGCCCCTGGAGCCAATCTGCACCCCCACTGTGTCCCCCTCCATCTGCCTGGCCAGCTTCATCCTGGCTGCAGTTAAACTGAACCTGCTGTGTGAGGTTTGGCCACTTGGCTCCAGCCTGGTGCGGCTGAGCCTCTGGGGCATCCCCCTCCTGCCCCCCAAGCATTCAGGGAGTGTCGGAGGAGGGTTTGGGGGTGGGGTACGAGGTGGCTGTCTGGGCCCCGCTCTCCCCTGGGGATAGATCCACCCCAGAGCCAGGCTGTAACCTGATTCTGCTGGAGCCTTATCCCCCTAAGCCAGCTGGAGGGGAATGACTGACGCTGGGAGCCTGCTGAGCAGGGGAGAGGCAGGTCCAGGGAGGGACACTCAGCCCTGGGGAGCTGCCCAGTGCCTTCGAATGTGCCCCCAAGGCCCCTGGCAGCCCATGTGCTGCAGGAGCGCTCTGGGTAGCTCTCAGGTTTGCCAGGCAGCTGGAGGCCCTGACCCTGGGGCTGGCTGGCTCTCTGGAGACCCTGAAGAGGGAGGGCTTCCTTCCCACAGGCTCCCTGTGGCTCCCGTAATGGCTATTAATGGAGGCCCAGCAATAGCCTCTGCTGACCTCTGAGTGCAGAGCTTCCCAGCCTGGAATGCTGCCTGCTGGCGCCACCATCCCAGCTTCCTCCGAGAGCCCAGCCTGCAGCCCTAGTACCAGGCAGCTCACATATAGCAGGAGTCCCTGGGCTGGGCCATGCTCACGTGCCTTTGGAAGATCCGGTGTGGGGTGAGCTTGGCTTGCTGCCCAGGAATGATGGGGAGACGGGCAGTCTTCGCGTACAGCATGCCCCACTCTCACTGGCTGCTGTGAATAACCTTGCTGTGTGCCAGGCTTATGGAGGGACCTCCTGGGCAAAAGAGACCCTTGGGCGTAGGAAGAGGGCCGAGGAGGAGCCCGGAGCAGAGCCATGTGGGCTCAGAAGGCTGCCTGGCTCCCCCAGCGCCTGGTGGCCTGGCCAGCCGGGTGGCACTGCTTAGTGCGCTCTCTGGAGGCGATGGGCGGGGCCCTGTGAGAATGCAGGGGTGGGAGAGCGGTTCGTCCTCGCCGTGTCCCCTGGGACCATGGCTCATGCATCAGTCAGATGGCAGTTCGTGCCCTGAGATTGGCATGGAAGGGGGCGGCTGGTGCCAGTGAGGGAGCAGGCTGGGCGTGTGGGGAGTGGCTCTGGGTGGCTGGGCTGACTGCCGCCCAGCCTGGGAGACAACTGGCCAAAGAGCCCGGGACCCAGCTCTGGTATGGCTGGCAGGCGGTCAGCTGTGGCAGAAGGCCAAGGGCTGCCTCTTCCCCCTGGGGGCTTTGAGCCACCCCCTGCAGGCAGCTTCTCGGGCCTGTGGTATCTCTCTCTGACACCCCAGCCTGGGATTTGTGTACTCCTTTCCCAGTGCACCTTGCTCACTCCAGTCCTGAACTTCCCCTCCCCTGCTCCCAGCTTCCCGCTCTTTTCCCGGCTGGACCCGGTCACCGCGCAGGCCTTGTATCTATGCCAGGCCGGGGGCTCCATGCTGGGTGTGACCCAGCAGAGGTTGCGTCGAGCTCCTCAAGGCCTGGTTCTCGGCCGCTGCCTCCCCAGGTGTTTATAGTTTAGCCGACCTGGCCTCTGCGGAGCAAACTCTGAGACGGGAAGTCTGCAATGGGAAGCAGATGTCTGCTCTGGGCCCTCCCCCTCCTGCTGCCC